GCCCGGGGGCCGGGCGGGCGGGCCGGGCCCGTGGGCTGCAGGGCGCCGGGACCCTCCAGCGCCCGCTGGAAGCGGGGGCTGTATGCTGGTGGCTGAAGGTAGGACTCCTGGCTGGAGGACAGAGGGGTGAGCTGGGCTTTCAGGGCGGTGACGGAGGCGGGGACAACGGGGTCGTCGTTCTCCTCGTCCGACTGCCTGAACTCGGGGTACATGTCCGTCTCCTCCACGAAGGGGAAGCCCTCGATCCGCCGCGTCTTCAGGGAGGGCTCCATCTCCGCCGGGTCCATGACGAAGCGGCCGTCGGGCCCGCGGCTGATGAGCTCGATGGGGGTGGTGGCCTCGGCCTCGGCCTCCGCCTTGGAGACGCTGTACTTCTTGCTGCTGATGGCTCGCTTGGTCTTCTTGTAAAGGGAGAGCTCCTTCTCCTTGGTGGGGCTCAGCATCCGCTTGGCCTGCGGGCCCTGGTCGTCTGAGGACTCCGAGGGGGGACGGAGAGTGCGGATGCTCTCGGGACTCACCTTGCCGGAAGACAACCTGGACCACAGGGGAGAAAAAGCAAAGAGAGGGGAGAGTCACCTGGAGGGGAAAGGAGGGCTTCTCGCCCTGCAGGTGGATCCAGAAAACCAAGCTCTACCAGCTCTCAAAAGAGGAACTGCTGGGATAAGCAGGATGGCAGAGTGTTGCCTGGCCACAGGACCAGCAGCAGGGAACATCGTCCCTGGTCCTCAGGAGCAGAGCTGGGTGTGCTCAGCTTCCCTCCCCCAGGGCAGGCAGCCCACACCAGGGCCTTGCAAACAAGGTTCACAGCCCCAGCAGGACAAAAGACAGATCCAGAGGTCACTTCCAACTCTGTCAAAGGTTCACCTGAGCTACCCACACCTGGGAAAACCCCTGAGAGGAGGGACATAAGGCAAACAGCCCCTTCCACAGAAGTCAGCATCTCACTTGGAGATGCTGATGGATCTTCTCAGACCAAATTTTCCCCTTTCTCAACACTCAAACATAAGGCTGAGAGCCTCAAAGAGAGCAGCAGAACAGTTCACTCAACCCTATCCAGAAAGCCTTGGACAAACAGGATTGAAAGGGAAAAGGTAGCAGATCCAACAGAGACAGTGCAGCCATGGTTATTTCACCACAGTGGATGAACCAAAAAGAAAAGCCACAACATGATCCACCAGCACTGAGAGTGGTCCAGGAAGCAAGAGGTATCTACATCCCAAACTCTGGAAGATGCTCCCACTGATGATGCTCCCACCAATCAGCAGCTATACGTGCTTTTGATGGGCTCCACAAGGAGCAGATCCACCACAATCCACCACCTTGGGGCACATGTGGAAAGAGGATTCAGCAGGGTAATCTTCATGGGATTCTCCCAGTTTCCCAAGAAAAAAAAGCCAACAGAGAACAACTCAAAAACTCCACCAAGCTTGCATAAAGGACTCCATATGCAGCAGGCTAGCCCTTCTCCTAAGGAACCCCTTCAAGCTGGGTGTGTCATTGAGTTCCATCAGTCAACTCCAGCTTTGGTGAATGTCCACAGATCCAAAGGGGTCAGCTCTTAGCTTAAAGTTTGCTGCCTTTGTCCCTGCTGCTTCCAGCTCCAAAGTCTCTTGTGAACTGTTGTGTTCCCACAAGTTCAGGGAACCCCCAAAACAACTTGTCAGAAGCAACCCAACCAGGTCAGACATTTCCACTGGAGCCTTGCAACAACTGTAGGAACCTTGAAGACCCAGAGCCTGGGGTTGCATCTAAGACAGATACTTACGGGGACTCCAAACTCTTCCTGCAGTGGGTTATCGAGAGAGGAGGGTCTGGAAGAGAATAAAAAGGGGAAAGAAGAGAGAAGGCTAAGGAGGCGCAACACGACAGAGACAAGACAAACTCAACATCAAGACAACAAAAGACACTCAACAAGAGGCCAAGGTTTCATTGCTCCAGCGCTTTAATGGTTGCTGACAACAAACAGCTCCCGACACAGGGTCCTGCCCCTCCTGCTGCCACAGCCTCCCTTGAAAGCTAGAGGAGAAGGAGCCACTCCCTGCCCTCTCCAGCTCCCCAGCCACCCTTTTCTACAGGCTGCTCCTGCTCAGCCACTGCAGCCCCAACTTTCAGGAAGCAGAGCAGCAGGGTCTCCTTTGCAGGGGTCTCCTCTAGCCTAGGGTGACCGTCATGCACTGCCCACTCTGGGCTGGGCAGGGGACAGCTGGAGAGCCCAGCTCCAGGGGGACCTCAAGGAGGTGAGCGGTCCCCCTCTACGTCTGGCCCAGAGGACACCCCAGCCCTAAACCCCCAGCTCTAGGAGTGATCACCACGCGAGAGGACTCCCTTGGACATCCCAGGCTAGTTTCTCTGTCGCCTCTTCACCCACCCTGCCTCTCCCGCTCCCGAGCACGGGCGCTTTCAGGCACAGCCGAGGGATGAAGTCAGGGTTTCACCTGAGGACGCGCGCGGGCGGAAGAAGAGACACAGACAGGGAAGAAGGTTACCACCACAGCACAACCAGGGAGGGGAAACGAGGAGGAGACGGGAGGGAGGGAGGGAAGGAGGGAGGAAGGAAGGAAGCACACCAGGGATGGGCTCACCTTTCTTGCGCTTGAGCTTGCGTTTGCGTTGCTTGTTGACGAAGCAGGCGGCGAGTGTGCTGAAGAGGATGGCAGCAGCCAGGAAGCAGATGGTGGCAACGATGCCAGCCAGGACTGGGCGGGCTAGACCCTCGTCCGTCAGGTCAGGCTGAGGGAATACGTCTGGGGAGGGGGAAAGAAACCACAACAATGAGGTGCTGTGCACACACACACCCCCCGCCTGCTGCCTTCCCCGCCCAGCGTGAAAGTCTCAGGAATGATCATCTCCAAGTTGAGACTCTGCTTCCAACCCAGCCCACCTGGGGAGAGCAGTCAGCCCAAATAACCCTGACAGCTGATGGACCCCCAGGGAAGATGTCTCCACACCACACAAATACACGTTTCTGTGCAAACACACATGACTGCACCAAACCTGCACTTATCTCCCAGCCCAATAACCCGCTGCGGCAGCACAAGGTAACTCACCCTGTTTGTCAGTGCTTCATTCCAGCTTTCAAATGAAAACAGGGCTCTGAACCCTCACGAGGCCCCTTCCCTCACCATATGCACATCCAACCCTCCCTGCAGACCCCGACTGGGGAAATTTGTGGATGCAAACACTGCCCATCCCCTGCACTGGCCTCGCACGCAGGGTCAGCCCGCAGCCTCCTGCCCGGAGTGCCCGCTCCCAGCCCTGGGGAGGGCAGCCCTGGGGCCACGGCACATGCACACATGGGTGCACCCTCTGCCAAGGCCCATCAGAAAAATAGTGGGAGAGGAGGCAGGGCAGACAAGCAGGTTGCAGCAGGCGGGCACACTGTGCTGGCACCACTTGGGGGCAGAGAGAGACCGCAG